ATCCACCCACTACTAATGCTAATGGACACTTGATCAATTGTAACCTGGTGAGTATTGAGCATTGAACCAGCAAAATACATGTAGATTGATAGTAGCAAAGATGTGTACTATTACATTATTATATTAATGTACTGTAAAAGCTGTCTATATTTCCAAGTAAAATGTTGCTAGGTACAAATATACATTATATAATATATGACATACTCATTTCCTCATCAAGACGATCATCAGGCTTCTCCTTCACGTCATCATCTTCCTGTCCATCAGCTCCTGTTACCACTGGGGCTGAGGCTCCATTAGCATCAGGTCCATCATCCAACTGTCTGAATGAAGAAGTGGCTGTTGGTGTCAACGGGTTGGACTCAAGCAACTCAAATAAATCTTTCTTTTTTGGTTTGCCTCCAACAGTGAATTTATCAGCTTGCTTGCCTCGACTGTAAAATGAGTGTGCATAAAAGAGATAGTGAATCATAGAAAAGAGAAAGATATGCATATACATGTACATGGTATAACCCAAAACTTTAAATATTTTTACAAAGTGGGCTGTTTAGTTCTAAAATACTAATATTTTAATTGTATTATATGTATTAGAGTCATGCTTGCATGATTAGGCTCATTAATTAATTCAGATTATTTGTAAAAGTTTACCACTTTTAGAAAAATTTTTATCATTGAAAGTTTAGGAAAATTTTTATCACTAAAAGTTTTGCGCAATATACATGTAGTATGTACAACATACATGTACATAAACATGTAGTCATGTACAAGAGGAAGATAGAATATTTATGCATTTACGTATGAGGGAGAGAAGGGAGAGGGTATTTCTCTTAAACTCACCGGACAATGAATATTATAATGACAACAATTAATACAATCAGGAGTAGAGCTAGGACTACACCAACAACAATACCAATAACTAAAAAACAAGAAAAATAAATAAATAAATAAATAAATAAATAAATAAATAATGATAACTTACTGGTACTAATGTTAGAACTTGTAGTTGGTGGAGCAGTAGAAGCTACAGAAAGTAATAATAATAAAACAGCAACAATATAAAAGCAACAACAACAACAACAACAACAACAATAATAATAATAAAATAGGAAGAACAATATAAAATCAAAGTTGCATAATAAGCAACATTAATTAAAGAATGTACATCTACAGACGTACAATGTAATACAAACAGAAGTACAAGAACTAAGGACTTCAATCAAACAACTAACCTAATCTATCTACTACCCTATATCAAGTACAATACATGGCATATATACATGTACACTGTACTACTATTAATGAACTAACCTGGTGAGGATATCTCAATGGGTGGACTAGTAGGTCCAGCAATAGGTCCCTGGCCTGAACCATCATCAACAGATAGGCCCATTGATACAGAATAAGTAGCTTGATCATCAAGATCAGTAGCAGTATAACTGGTCTCAGTAAATGGAACTCTAATAGTGTCTTCTCCCTGTCTCTTTTTGCTAGATCTTGTCAGTCTTATTGTGTATTCAAAGAAACCACGGGCTTGTTCAAGAGACACTTTATCCCAAGTAATAGTCATATTAGTACCATCATCAGATCTCACAGCTTGAACATTACTAGGAGAGACACTGGGAGCTGGAGTGGGTGAGGGGGAGAGAGAGGGAAAAGATAAGAGATGAGGGTTATAAAAAATATAAGTAAAAAAGAGGCTATGCATGTAAATTGTGTATAAATGTACGTACAACAAATCAAATGAAGGAAGATTAAAAAAGATATTAAATGTACACTAAACATACACAAATACAGAATACATGGATTTGTACACACACACACCTACATACGTACATGTACATGCACTTACTCAAAACTCTAGTAAAGACAGTAACTCCAACTTGCATTCCTCTACCAAACTCATTATAAGCAGCCAGAGTGACATTATATGGTATACCAGGTTCTATAAAAAACAACAAATAAAACACGAAGTAATGTAGGAATTATGATCCTTTAATATAAAGCAATTAAAGTTAATGTACATGTATATGAATGCAATATGGCCAGTTTAATGATAAACCATAGAAATAGTACTTACTTAATACTGTAGTATTAGTAATCAGTTCCATAAAAGAGTATTTATCATCAACATCAGTAATTGTACGTCTTATCAAGTTATTTCCATTAGTATATCCATCAACATCAATAGTATAGTTCATAATGCGTCCATTTGGTGTAGTAGGAGGATACCATGTCACATTAATGGTGTGATTATTCACTGATGGTAATGTAGTGAATATTGTACCAGATATAGTAATATCCCTTGTCACCAATAGAGGAGGACTGGAAGCTATTAAAAATAATGAGAAGTAATAAGAATGAAGAAAGGAGATTGAGTGATAACTCACTGTCTGGTAGTGTTCTTCCACTAATATTAGATATAGGTCCAAACCCAATGATAGTCCTAGCAGTAACAGTGGCAAAGTAACTCCGAAAAGCACTGAAGAACCCTTCCATATCAACAATCTGTGTTATATTAGTTTGATCAGGAGATACACTTATGTCGTAAACTGTGTCATTATTAGTGTATGTGTTTGCAACTTTGAGTTGATACCCAGTGATTATTCCATTAGGAATTGATGGTCTGCTCCATGTAAATGTAACTGTTGTCATTGTTGGGGCAGAGGCAAAGTTCTGTGGTCCATCATCAGGTGCTATAAAAATTGAAAAGAGAAAAAAGACATAATTAAATAGCTAGTAGCAATCTTAAGTAGATCTATATGTCATTTATGCTACTAATCACAAAAACAGTGTGGAAATGAGCAAAACTCAAAATTACTAGGGAGAATGCAATGCATTAAGGGGGCGAGCCTAAGCAAGGCATAGATTATCAATGTGCTGTATGATACGTGAGCAAGCAAAGCAACTGTACATGCCAATAAGGCTAATACAGTACTGAGATCTATGGTCACTGCAACACTCAAGAATCTCAGTCTGCAGGAGTTAAACTTATCTTACTGATAGCATTAATGATGCTTAGAAGCAATCACTGCATAAATCATATTTGAAGATTGTGTATCTGCTTTGTTAACCTAGGCTTGCTGCTAGAGAAGAAACATCACCTAGAATAGATCTCACCATGCATCAGCTAGGCTATACAGTACATGAGCTTTCTCGCTTGCATTCAACTTATCAGAGTCCTTTATACCTGTATATCTGCTTTTCCAACCTTTATTCTTGCTAGAGAAGTTTTTAGACAGCAGTTTAGTCTTATCTTGCTGACCGTTTGCTGCAAAAAACCTCATGCAGACTTGCTGGTAGCCGCCATTTTGATCATTGTGACCACACCCGCTTTCAATGAAGATTAGGCTATTTAACTTTAATAATAGTTAGACGACCCTATCATGCCCGTGCATACATACAGACGCTTTCTCATCTTAGTGGGGTGAGCTCAGGCTCGCCCCAACAAGGTACATACACTGTACATACATAAATAACAATTGTATAACTAAAATGGCTTACTATCTTGTGCTGTTTCAAAAGTACACTGGGTAGAGGGTCCTTCTCCTACCACATTAATAAATGACAGAGAACAAGTGTAACCAGTAAAAGGCATAACATCATTAATAGTGAACATTGTGTTCATTGAAGTTTGTGTTGGGCTCAATCCATTGACTGATACACCATTAGTATTCATACATGTTAAATTATAACCAACTGGTGCTCCATTTTGATCTATTAGTGCTGGTTCAGTCCAGGTAAGTGTGACATTACGTGGTAGAAATGTTATATTAGCACAATTCAATGGAGAAGCCACTGGCACTGTACAGAATAAAAAAGATCAAAAAGAAGATAAATATAAAAATGGAGAGACAAAAGGATTATGAACAGTATGATTAAAAAAAGGTAAAGAGAGAGAAGAAAAGAAAGGAAACAAAGGAGTATAAACACATTCACTCACATGTTGGAAGTGTTCTGAATGTCATCCCTACAGTACTAGTGGTACCAAGACAATTGGTAGAATCAACTGTATATGTATAAGTGTTATCTTCCTCAAGGCCAGCCAACATAATTGTAAATTCTTGGTTAATTGCAGTGATGTTATCAGAGCTCATTCTTATATTAGAAGTTTGTTCTGTAGTTTGTAAGGTCATTCCAGTATACTTAACACTGTAGGTTTCAGGTGCATAGGCAATGTTAGGTACTAAGAAGAATATAACAGCAGTAGCAATAGCAACAACAGAAATATTTCCTGGAGTAGCCATGACATTAGTAGCAGCAACAGGTAAACTTTGAGCTAAAAAATAGGGTGAAAAGGAGGAGAAAAAAGGAATGAGGTAAAATTATACAGAAAATCATATGGCATTAATCGGCATACATATGCAAAAAATAATCGTACATTGTATTTATACATGTATAATTATTATTGCCACTTACGTCTTACAGTCACAGTACTTTCCTCACTAGTAGTGATATCAGTTGAATCAGGTATAGTAATACTAGCAGTACATGTATAAGTACCAGAATCAGAAGCAGTGCTGTTGGTAAAATTCAATGTATTAGTAACAGTGGTAGTCATACTCTCTTCAGTAGTAGTCACAGTACCAGTTTCCATTGCACTATTATGTGTCCATGCTATTACCAGGTCTGGTATTACTATGGTTGGTTTAGTGGCTGTACAGGTAAGAGTGAAGTTATCATATGGGTCTGAATCAGGACATGATACCACGGTCTCCAGACCAAGAAATGAGTCAGGAGAAGCAGAGAAACTTCCAATCATCGGATCTATAAAAAAATCACCATTGTTAAAAATAATAATAATAGTACACTTATACACTACATGTATGTACATGATTATTGAGCTAAACATTTTGGGCCATCAAAATGTTTTGCAGCCATTTTATAGCACAGGGTTTTTAATAAAATTAAAATGCTTGGAATTCGCTTAAAGTTTTTACACAGCATAAAGGCTCACTACACATCCAAATACAAAATAAATTACATTAGAAGTGGGAAATTGTACATTACACACAAATTTTATACACATGCATGCATGTACAAACATGCACATTAATACTTACCAGTAACAGTGAAGTTAACATTCATATAATTAGTATCAGAAGTATTAACATATTCATAAGCTGGAGCTGGTACTATAGTAACAATACATGTATATGTTCCTGAATCCTCAATACTGCTCAATGTAGTGAAATTAACAGTTGATCTATACTCATTGAAACCTGATCTCATCATAACGGGGCTGATATTAACACGATCAGTATCAGCAAGCCTCATTGAATTAGGACCACTCTCATCTCCGAAATCACCGCTACTCATGATTTGTTGATCAGTCATGTTCCAGGTTACGTTAACAGCAAATGGTGTATCAACACTAGGATCAACACTAATATCACATGTTAGTACCAGGTTACTACCAGCTAAGAAATAGTTCTCCCTTGATTGACTCACATCAACAGACGGAATGGGAACTAAAATAAAATAAATTTAAAACAATTATTGAAAGGAATAAGTACACCATGTAACCAAAAAGGAAACTGTACAACACAATAACAAGCACACACAATTACGTACTCAATAAAAATAATTTAAAAATTAAGGCATTCAAAAAATTAGTTACCTATAGGTCAGACATGGGGTCAATTACATTAGAAAGTAATATATTACTATTACTATTAACTAGAAAAAAGTTCTATTACTATTACAATTACATGTTTAGTAGATGTAAATGTAATATATTACTATTACTATTACTCCATTAATTTCATTATTACTATTACTATTACTGCATATGCATGACTAAATGTAATCTAATTATATTACGATTACATTATAATTTCAAATCAATTCTCTTTAAAGCAAATGACCATTACATTTTATACTTATAAGTTTCTCAAAAACAGTATCAGAAAGTCTGCATCATTCCGGTCTAAAAAATTTCCCTCCTATACTGAATACCACTGGAGCAAATGAACCTTTTGTCAGAGCAGACAAACTTGAATGCACATACATGTACCTGTACATTTACATTGAATACTTGTACAATAATGTATTACAATATGTACAATTACTATTATATTACTATTACTTAACTGTCTCCTACTATTACAATTACTATTACTTGGTTTTTTGATTCCTCCATTACTATTACTATTACAATTACTTCAAAACATGTAATCTTTACTATTACTATTACTATTATCTATTACTATTACCCCATGTCTGCTATAGGTACATGTATATCTAGCTTTAAAAATTGCTTTGCATTTACAATGTACAGTACTGCACATACATGTTTTTCCCCACAGGTATAGTAGAAATTAGCCTATTTTTGAAAATGGTGCCATAACTCAAAAAGTTGAGGTCGGAATCAGCTCAAACTTTCTATATAGCATAAGGACATCAATATATATCAGAAAATGCAATAAAATTTGGGGGCAATTTTGAAGCCATTTTTTGAAAAAAAACAATGGGTTGTACAAAAAACTTTCAAAATTGTACTCAAGGAATGACAGCATGTATAACACATAGTGACACACACTATAATGCAATATACATAAATCATGTACCAATCATAATCATTGTGTACTTACTTTCTAATGGTAAGTT